TTGAATGAGAGTGATAAGTAATAATTACCTTATCTAATTTCTTATCATGGTATTAATGCCAAGTTTGTAATGTATACACACAATCATCATATGTATACACAGTAATCATGAAAAGATAGCGTTTTCTTCTGTCTTTATTGAATAAGGATATTGCTATACATATTCCTTTTGAAATCTCTTTGTGACATAAGTAATCTAAATATTACTGCTTTTATTCAAAGTTTTTGCTTTTAGTGGTATATACCCCTACTTTTAAGAAATACATTCACTTTTATTAAAACTTATTCTTAAATTAAAACTTGAAATATAAAAATAGTTGATTAAAAATGTATATTTTTCTAGTATTGGTTAGTTTGGTGAATAATCTTAATGAAGCTGAAGAAACTTCTTCGAGTGAGTTTTCAATTACTCTATTTTAAATGTGGAGTTTTGAAGTGTAAGTTTTTTTTTTAGATAGGTATTATTTAGAACAATTTTTTGAAAAATTATTTTGAATTTTTGCATAAGATGCTTTTAAGGCTGTATGTAAAAATCAAATAAAAGTAAAAAAGTACATTTACAAACTCCAATAAATCATACAAGTAAATGAGTATGTTTTGTTAATTATAACGTAACAATAGGTACCAATTAATTTTGGTATATTTGTATATATATTTATATGTATCCTAAATTATTTTGGTTGAGCCGAATCATTCAAATAATCATGATGAGGTGTTGTGATTTGTTTGTGTTTGGGCGCATGCGAGATAATCAGCTGTGTACTACTTCGGATCGGTTCATGGACAGCATTTGTGTGTACACCCACCCCGCTCTTTTTCTATTTTGAACGTCATTTCCACTGCTCACCGTCTATATTGTCGCTTTATGATATATTCTGATTCGAATTGTTCTTAATAATTTCCGGCACTGGGTAGTAAAATTTGTTAACCCTTACTTTTGAAGCTAGCCGGATGTCACCATCGGACCGCCGGATCAAACACCGGACGGTTTGTCGGGAAATAGCCATAGTCGGAACTGGCTGCACTATTTCCCGCCCGTAGCGAAAGTTTTTTTTTAGTTATGTGCGCTACAACTATTGTGTGTTTTATTTTTTATATATATATTTTTTTCGTGAGTGTTCACTAATTTTGTATAGANTTTTTTTCGTGAGTGTTCACTAATTTTGTATAGATGTGATTTTTTTTATTTTGGCGTCGGCTGAACCTGTCTTCAGTTTCTGAGCACTTTGGGGTTGGTAATGTACATTTAATTATTATGTTTTGAGCCAGATTTTTTTTTTAGCGCCGTGCCATAAGCACGTGTGGCAATTTTTTTTATTAATCTTTTGTAGGTCCCTCAACATGGTAGGCATGTTACAATACTACCTACCATGTTTATTTATTTAATTATTTAACGCCAACGGAAGTTTACAAGAATAATATTATGATAACATAAATATATAACATAATTTAATAAAAATGTCTGGTGCATCAATGAGACCATCAAGGAGAGCATCGATAAATGAACGGTTTAATAAGATTAAAAGCGATTCTGTACTCTTTCAATACGGAATTGATCTTTAGCTAAATAAGGATGCCACATAACCGTTCCGTATTCTAAAATAGAGTGAACGAGTGAGAGATAGAGGGAACGTAAACATTGTTAGTATGTCGTTTTAAAAATCCTAAAACTTTTAAGGCTTTGCCTACCATAAAGTTAATATGAACGTCAAAAGATAGCGAAGGAGCCAGGTGGAATCCTAGGTCAGTTACTTGAAATACACGCTCTAACATGGTACTATCTAAGGAGAGGAGTATAAAAGAGGAGCGCGCTTCCTGGTAAATGTCGTAATATAACATATACTTATATTAAGCGAGAGGCCAACCCGATTAATCCAGCAAACAAAGAAATTGAGATCTGTTTGCAATAACAAACAATTAGAGGAAGAAGCTACTATTATAAAATTTTTCATGTCATCTGCAAATAAGAGGACGTTAAACGTAAAAAAAAAATAATAATCAATTATAATTTGACTAATATACATTTTAAAGATGTAATGTAAAGTTCCAGCGTTTCCGACTAAACAACTTGTTATGAATTTTTTATCAAAATACGATCGTTGTCAATAAACTACTATGTAAACTATGTAGAAAAATACAGATTGGTTCTTCGTCATTTTATTTTAAATTTAAATTCTCTGAACTATATTTTGGTATTGACTTTTATGAAATTTTTCAAAAAGAACAAAACGTATTTCTTTAAAAGTACATTTTTTTCGTTTTTCTCGGATATGAAATAATTATACTTAAAGTATAGGGAGAAATTGATAAGAATATTATCGTCTTATAATCTGAATTCGTATTTCCTAGTGCGTAAATTCAACTTCTTAGCAAAGTTTTAATTATTCAAATGATCTATGCAGTGCTAATTAAGTATAGTTGGTATTTACAACGTATAAAATATTGAGATAAAGTAGATTTACGTGTCCGTAGTGTAATATTGAAAACAGTACGGTTGAATTATAAAAGTGTAACAAATAAAAAGAAATTAACGGAATGAGTTGTCAAAGAAAGAAAAGTGAAAGGAATTAATAATAATTTTAAGTTACTTCTGTTCCCTATCCCAACCGTTCTTTCTTATTCTTGTTTATTATGTGATTTTCATTAGTTTTGTTTATTGAAATAAAAAATACAGTCACTAATCTGTGCCTTCTATGCCTTTCAAATAATCTCTTTAATATACGCGTTGTTTGATTATGCATTTTTGCAAACACACTTATACATGTTTTTTGTCTTATAATGTACTCCTGTTATATATATTTTAATTTTATACTTTAAATATTATAATTGTACGAAGTAGGACGCTGTGGCCGAGTCGGTAATGCGGTAGTGCTTGACACGCACTGCCTCGGGTTCGAAACTTGGCTTCATTTGCCGAACAAGAGATTAGTTGTGTAATTGGAGTCGCCATCCCACTCTCCGGCGACGGACTAACCATCCGTCTCCGAGTATAAATGGTTAAGAACACCTCCTCTTAGGGGGCTATAAAAAAAAAAAAATTGTACGTAGTTCCCTATCAATGTTTTCCAAAACTCATCCTGGTGTTACCAAAGTAGGATTAAAAAATATGTTTATTTATATTTAAAAGTGGGTTCCTACGATTGGTGTACTTGTCAAGTATACCAATAATTGTAGTAAAAAAACTTTAATATGAATAAGAAATTTTTTCAAACGAGAGGACACTACAGTGATGGGGTCCTTGATATTCATTGAAGTTATTGATTCTAAATGAAATAAAAACCAAAAGAGTTAAATATTTTTTTCTAACTTAAAAACTTTTGTAAGGTATTTTAAAATCAAATAAAATACAAAATCGAAAATTTTGTATTTTCGTAATTTTGTATTATAAAATCGAGCCATTTTCATCATGAAGACAAAATAAGTCCGACATTTTTTTTTCCATAATAAAGCATATTACATAAGCTTTAATTTAAGATATATATAATAGTGTCAGTATTTCCTGAAAATTTTCAAAAATTAAGCAAAAAAAGTTAATTATTTGTGAATAAGTTGTAATTTTGGATCCCGCCCTGTAGACAGGTAAAGGGTTAGATTTATAAAAAAAATATATGAAATGGTAGGTAAATACCTCATATAACTATAAAAAAAATTATATTGATTTGATCATTTTTTAAAAAATTATGACAGTTTTTAGTAAAAAAAAATTGAAAAAATGTTGAAACTTAGCGATTTTTAAATATGTGATTTATTTTGAGATTTCCCTCATTTACGGGGAACGAGAGAAATGTTTTCAATTTTTGAGGGTAATGTCTTTGACTAGATACAATTTGTGATCTTTGATGTATCGTTGAAAGAAATCGGTTCAGTGAGAGATGAGAAAAAGTAGTAACAGACACAAAAAAAAAAGCACATCATAGTAAATTTAATATCTTCAATACCTCAANGTGAGAGATGAGAAAAGTAGTAAAAGACACAAAAAAAAGGACATCATAGTAATTTTAATCTTCAATACTTCAACTTCGCATCGAAGCTAAAAATTTGTTGATTTTATATGGAAAAAATAAATATATATAATGTATTTAGTAATTACTGAAACGGGTTTCTAGTATTCTTATTGTAACAATTGACTGAATCCTTACTTACTCTGTATATATTATATAAAAATTTAAACTTAAATAATTTTACTTATTAAATTTGAAATTTTTAAAATGATATTTTATACTTTCCTAATGGCAACATTGATTAGATGATTTTACTTTATTTATGTATGTATGACAATTAGTTCTTGTATAAAATAATATAGTACAAAACAAAATATAATAATAATTTTAAAAATCTTATATTTTTTTTTTAGAAGACATAACTAATGACAAAGTTTGTATAATTTGTCATGAAGAAAAAACATCAGTTTCTTTTAATAACTGTGTACACAAAATGTGTAATTCATGTGCAAATGGAGTACTTCATAATTATTATAAAAAATGCCCTATATGCAAAAAGATAAATACTATAATTATTGGTATTCGTAAGTACCTAATCGTATAAATTAATAAATTTGTATCAACAAGGGCCTGATATTTTTGTAAAATATGAACAATTTTATTAAAGGGTTACATTTTTTGCTGTAAAAAAATTTGATGTTATTTATTACTAATTAATAAACACAGTAAAAGAATTTAGATTTTTGTATTTAATGTAATTACATTGATCATTAAAGTCTTTGTTAGAAAAACTTAGTTTTATTCTGATAACTGTAAATATAAATTGTCATATTTGTTCATTACATATTCAGTATTAATTAATAATATTAATAAAATAATATTTAATATACATTTTTTTCGGCATTTTCAAGAGAAACCGAAACTGATTATTTTTCAAAACCGAGTTCGAAAACTAAAATAGTCATGTTTTAAAGCTGGTTTTCAAACATTAACCAAAACCGCAAAAATATAGAACGATTTCAGTCTCTTATAATAAATGTAGTTATAGAAATTAATTCAAACTGACTTTCAAAATTTGACAGAAATTTACTTAAAATTCTTATTTTTTTACTTAAAAATATTATTGTATGTTTTTTATCACAACAAAATCAATAAATGACAACATACAATTAATGCTTTTACACGTAGTATTACTTAATATTAGTAGGGTCGTATTTATGTGGGGTCATTGAATATACGATTCTAGGTTTGTGGAAATCATTGAAGTAAATATTAGCCATTTGTTAACCTTTAAAATTTCAAATTTAAGCGTTGATTTTTTTTTCTGAAATGATAAAAAATAAATAAATAAAGTTTCATCAATATTTTTAAATTTGATATTCTGAACTTCACAATTTCTGACGGCTCTACTTAATTTTTATGAATGTATTAATAATACATGGATAATTTTAGAACCAGATACTGATAATATTTGTTATACTTGTGGAAATGAACCACTGACAGTAGACATTGATTGTAAAAATAATCACAAAATGGGTAATAATTGTGCTTATAGAGCGCTTAATGTCTTAAATATTCGCTATGTTTGTCCATACTGCAATTTAAAAAACAGAGGTTACAAAAATCTCCGTAAGTATAATTGATATTTACATAGTTATAGCAACAAAATACACATTACATATGTATATATATATATAGTGTCTGTCGCCACTTTTTCTCAGCCAACCGAAATCTTTCAACGACACGTCAAAAGATCTAAAATAGTATCTAGTAGAAGATATAACACTTAAAAATTAAACAAATTTCGCTCGTTCCCTATAAATGGGGGAAATCTCACACTTTTTTTTCAAATTGAAATTTTTTTTTAATTTTGAAGGACAATGTCTTCAACTAAATACGATTTTAGATCTTTTGACGTATCGTTGAAATATTTCGGTTGGTTGAGAAAGAGTGGTAACATACATAAAAAAAAGGCATAATAGTAAAATAATATTATTCAGCTTCGCATAGAAGCTAAAAAAAAATAAACTATAGCATGGTGGGGTCGCAGCACAGTGTGGACGTGCCATGATTGGGACAAGTATAAAAAATATATGACAGTGAATAAAATCACTAAAAAAAAAACACATCTTAGTAAAATTAATTCTTAGTAAAATCTCAGCTTCACATTATTCCTAAAATTAATCAAAAAAATAAACTTTTATCAAATTATTATTGATTTTTAATATTTTAAAAATAATCCGTGCAAAATTTAAATTTAAAATGTAATTTTTAAATTATTTTTTTGATCCTTTAAAGTTGATTTTTATGAAAATTTAAAAATGTTAAACTTTTAAGCACTATTTTAGGTCAACTTGCAATTTAGAATTTATATCATCATAGATGATTTTATGTGGAATAAAAAATTGTTCTTTTTTTATATTGGTATGTGATTAGAAAATTATATAATTACTAGTAACAGTAAATTTATAAGAAAAGATCAAAATATCGTTAAAAATACTATTTTTTTGTATTTTTATTGTAATAAAACATCTAAATAGAAGTCTTAGAAATCATTTCTATGTAATTCTTGGTGGTTAAATAGATGCTACAATTAAATTATTCAAAACTAAATTAATTTATTAAATATTGAATAATTATTGAATAATTATAATTATTTATTAATGCATTGATATACTGCACATATTATATTCTGCTTGTTTACACTGATTAGGTGATATATTTAGTCTATGTATTATTTATTAAACACTATATACAGATTTGCATCGAAGTGTTTTTTATGATAGTGATTTTAAAATCTGTCAGATATCAACTATGTTATGTCCTCCCTGTGCTGGTTATTTTATAATGAAATTATATCAATTGTATCTGGTGGATATAAGATTGATGTTATCTATACAAACCTTTGAAAAACATTTGACACATTAAATCATGATATTTTGGTGGACAATTGATAAAAAACCGGTGTTACTGACTCTATTTTATCTTGGTTTTCATCTTACCATAGTGGTAGATAATAGCAAGTAAAAATTGTTGACTCTTTATCATCAATATTTATGAATGACCCAAACTAATATTTTTCGTCATGCACGTTGCTTACCTTTTGCTTATGATGTAAAATTGTTTATACAAATAAAATTTATTAATGACTGTTTAAATTTCCAAGATGATTTATATAGGTTTCATATTTGGTGTACTAGTAATGGTCTTCAATTAAACATAGCCAAATGCTTCTTTTATATAACTTTTTGTTGCAATCGTAGTAACGAAAGTTTTCTATATAATATTGAAGGCATTGATTTAACTATTGTACTGCTTATTAAAGACTTAGACATATTGTTTTCTTTTGATTTGTAATTTAATGAGCACGTTACTTATATTTATAATAAAGTTTTACACACTTTCTTTAAAAAGTAATTGTTCTGAATTTACTAATCCTCTATGCTCTTATGTTCCTATTGTTATCTTACGTAATAGTTCACTATTCTACATTTCTTTACATAAGTAAAATTATAGTAATTTTTCACTGGTTAACCGTATGCTAATAAATTACAATTCAGTTTGCTATAAATTAGATTTTTTGTTATGAAGTTATGAATATTTTAAAATATCGACTGGAAGTGAAGAGTGGGTGCTGCTATTTTTATTGCTAGACATTTCTCTGTCCAACTCCTCCTACCTAGCTATAAAAATGTAAATGACTTTTTAAAACTGGTCTTAAAGTTGTTATCGACAAAACATTTACTTAAATACATCAATTTCTATTTTATAAGCAATTTAAATATGTACGTTGCCATTTAAAAAAAAAGTTGACACTTCTATAGAATACAAGATGTGAAGATAAAAAATATTTTATAACAGATAAATGGAGATATACATGTAACTAACAAAACCCGATTTTTTAAAAACAAATTATTATTTTAAAAGAAATTGAGGCGCTAGTATTAAAATAATCACCCTAAAATAAATGAATACATGATACCAAGTCCAAGTTGATGTCATAGGTGATCGTCTTATTCTCATGCTAGCCCTGTCTCTGAGTGATAATACAACTTGGATTATGAATATTAACTATAATGTTATTATAAAACTTTTAATGTTTTTTTATTAAAAATCTTTAAAATATTTTTTTTAGATGAACCTAAAACTTCTCCAAGTAAGAGCATACATGTTTTATAAATATTTTTTAACTTGTAAACAAATTTTCTTTATACTTTGTACGACGTTAGAATCAATTGGATCATTAAATAAAACAAACGATTAATTGATTTAATATATCAAAAATCATTTAAAAGTGTTCAACAACAAAGAGACGTAGGTTACTTTGAAAAAATTGTCAACTATTGTGATGAATCGTATGGCGAATACATGACATTTCCGTTATCGCAAAATTATTATTAAATGATTTGAATGTACTTTAAAATTATTTTTTGAGGTCTTTGACAAATATCGTCTAAAGCTTTGTATTAATAAGCACTTGCTAATTTTTGTCTCGTAATTATAGGATCAGAATAAGGGCGACATGTATATTCTACAAGACATATTAAAACTAATTTACAATAGAGTTAAATATAATCAATTCTACTAAAAATTTAAAAAATTACCTTTTAGATCAATAATTTTATCAAGCTCAGTCACACGAATAGTACTCTTGCAAAATAACACCAACTTTGATATCCGTTTTTACTCCTTTGTATGCAAAACCAAATTAAAATTGTTCAAGGTTTCAGCCATAACAGAGGGACTTGTTACCCACTGCCCAGGGAAACATTGGACAGTGATCTAGTAGCCGAACCAAGCAACAATAGTACTCGTTGACGGAGCTACTAGGTTTTGATTAAAAAAAAAACAAATATTTATAAAAATGAGGGATAAGTATGAAGAGAAAAAGAACATAGGCCATGTATAATATAATAATATTTTTATTTTATTAAAAATGTTTATATGTATCATTTCAACATCATTAGATATATATATAATATATATTATATATATATATTAGTGTGTCCCTTATTTTGAAAATTTTGGAAATTCTTCGGACTCACTCTACAAATTTGTGTGTATAACATATTATGTTACAGTGTGTATGTTACATATAAAAAGTGGCTACAAAAAATTTCAGGCTGGTCAGATAAGTTTAAACCGTGCCGACTTGGGGTTGAAAATCGGCCAAAAGGGGTACTTTTTTAGTTTTTAACAATTCACTCATAAATTAGCGCTTTCACAAAAAAAAAAATTTCAAAACTAAATTGTAGATCTAATTGTTTTGTATAAATTAAGTCCTTAAAGTTTTTCTTTTAAATCCATTAGTTTTTGAAAAATGTCAAAATAATAATATTTCGTAAAATTGCCAAAATTGGCATATTTAAGAATATTTCATCATATATGATGAACCATATGTGATACGACCTAATGTTTCTTGCAAATATTATTTAAAATTAAATTTTACTCAACCGTAAATACTTATAGATGCATCATGATTTTACAAATTTTAATTGACTAAAAAATAATTAAATTATTTATTTTCGACTGGTATGAAAAACTAAATTATACAGAAAACACGTTAAATCATATAAAATCTGCATCGATTATTTTGAAGTTATAAAATTATAATAATATATCAACAAGATTACCCCAGAGTGGCGCTAAGTAATTAACACTTCAGGTTTGGCGAACCTGGCACCCCGAGCTCTGCGCTGGCCTTTACTGATTGGCTAAGTCTGGTTCTCCAGGTTGGGGTTTGGAAACGGGTTAACAACCCGTCGCTGTAAAAAATCTCTACTGTTAAGTAACTAAAACTAAAGCTTCGGGACAGAGATTTGGAAAGAACACAATGGAAACGCCCCGGAGAACAAGGATTTCGGATTAAATCATGGAATGTAAGATCTATATTTAAAGTAAAAGCTCTTGATACACTAGTCGATGCAATAAATATATAGATTATAGATAGGTATAAAATGAATATTGTAGCGTTACAAGAAACGAGATTCAAGGTTAAAGATGTCTACCAGCAGATATGACACTATTCTATAGTGGTATAGCGACTAATAAGCATGAAAATGGCGTGGTTTTTCTCGTGTGCAATAGTCTAATACCATAGATTAAGCAATTTAAGGCCATTATATTAAATTGTTATAGCGAGATATGAACGCTCAAGTGGGAAAAGAAAATGCATACAAAGCGACGATTGGAAAACATAGTCAACACGACTGAAGCAATGTTAACGGAATAAAATTAATTAATTTTGCAATAAGTAAAAATATGGTGATAAGCAGTACAGGATTCCCGGGGAAAAATTTTCTTTAAGAAACGTGGTTTTTACTAGGAAGCATATTTAGTAGCCAAATTGATCATGTTCTCATAGAAAATAAATAGAAGACGATTATAAAAAACGCCAAAGGAGTAGACGCAGACACAGACTATTACTTGATCTTGATTGACTTCACAGTAAAGATGTTTATAGAATGAAAAAATAAATAAAAACACCCGGAAAATACAACGTGGATAAATTAAAAAATGAAGAAATGTTACAGACATTTCAAGAAATAGTAACAAATATATCAGGAAGAAGAGAGGAAAGTGATAATGAACAGATAAGGAAGTCATGGAAAGTAATAAAGATCTCAATAACGGAGTTCGCAGAAAAAGTCATTCAACTCGCACAAAGAAAGATTGCAAGCAAAGAAATGGTTTAATTATAATTGTCAGAAAGGAATCAGGGAACGTAATAAAGCCAGAATCAACGCAATCCATACACCTATTTCCGGAAACATACGGGATTTCGAGAACAAGCGAAGAGAACTAACTACAATAATAATAAAATAAAATAAAATAGCGGAAAAAGAACGATTAGAGTAGATTGAAAACTTCAAACACAATCCCAGAGATTCTTCAAACGTTGCAAAACATTTAAAAATGGATTCATACCAACTATACAGATGATTGAAGATAATAATGGTGCTCTAATTACAAGAACGAAAAATATTGCTGAAGAATTTAGAATGTACTTTGAAAAATTCCTTAACAGAAACTCAACAACGGAAGTAGGGAAACAAGACGACACCATACATTACGCAGCAGAACCAGAAATATTGAATTCGAGTAGAAAAGTATCTTTAGAAAAGATACAGTATGCTATTCAGACTATAAAAAAAATTAGTCACCATGAGATAAAAAAATTGTAGCTGAATTATTGAAGATAGGAGGACAAAAACTAACAAAGGAAAATATACTACAGGACTAAAATGAATCATTGAAATGTCCAATTTTCAAAAACGGTAACCGAAATAAAGTAGTAGAGGATTATTACTGCTGAACACTGCGTATAAGTTATTATCATTAATAATACTTTATAGTATTAAATAAAATTAAAACTATATTAAAAATATTATTAATTTACAAACTAAAAAATATTAAATTCAAAAAGCCACAAAAAATTGCCGAAAAAATCTCGGATACGTATTTTGGAATTATAAACCGTTATAAACCTTTAACATATACACAGATAGTTTGTGTTAAATATAGTTTTAATTTTATTTAATTAATTAGCTACAAGTGATCAATTTTTATTATATAAATACTTAAAGATTGCAAATTTATACAGATGAGATAGTAGGTAACTACCAAAGCGGATTCAGAAAAAATGAATCAATTATTGATCATATATTTGTCATAAGATAGATTATGCAAAAAAGTCTCGAGTTCGCGAAAGATGTACATATGTTTTTTTGTAGATTACAAACAAACCTATAAGACGAAAACTATGGAAAATTCTTAAACCCGTTGATTTACCAACTAAATTAATCAACATGATAAAACTGTGTAAAACAAATACCAGCAGCCGAGTCAAGGTGAACAACGAGATATCATCTTCGTTTTTAATAGTAGATTGAAGCAGGGGATGCGATGTCACCAATGCATTTAAATATGACAATGGAGCGTGTAATAAGAAAGATACCTGAGACAATAAATCTTGACAAAGGAAATGTCTTACTAGTATATGTAGACGTTATAGTGGTTATTGGGAATTTGCGGGAAGGTATTCAGAATACTGTTGAAGAACTGATAAAGATAGAAAAAGATATTAGTTTGAAAATCAACAGAGAAAAACCTAAATACATGATGGTAGAAAAATGAAGTGTGACAATATTAATCTCCAGATATGAAATAACACCTTTGATCAAGTACAATAGGTCGGTTCTTCCTTTGTTTAATGGAAAAGTCCATTAAGACTTATTTAGACCCATTAGTTTCCAACTGATGGGTCTAATTTTGATTTAAATTTAAGCTACCGGTCTATAGATCTCAATGTAATTGTTGATTATTTAAATTCTATGGATTCTCATGCCAAGACCGGCCCTGATGGTATACCATCTACGTTTTTAAAATCTTGTAGCGCAGTATTTGCACAATCGCTTCATTTAATTTTCAATAAATCAATAAGTTTGGTTTAAACATATTGCCATAAATTATAGACCAATTTCCAATTCGATTGAAAAATAAATTCGTATGTATAGAACATAAAATGTTTAATAGTTTCCGAAAAATATAGTGTCTCATATTTAAAGATTTACCTGTATGTTATATTGATAATTAAGTGTAAATCCAAAAATATAAATCCGATAAACTTCGAATGAGTTTTAAAAACTTATAGTCTTGACAATATTTTATAAAAATAGTTCAAAGGCTATACTTCAATGTGAGCGCTATTATTCGTTGGACGGAAAAAACCCATTCTTCCTTACCTATTTTTTAATATCAAAATCAGTCAATTTTGTTTTTTTTAATTACTACAACTTTCTAAAAATTGAATGATAGAAATAAACAATTTGTATCTTTTTGAGTGAAAATTCTTTGGTAATAGATGTAGACCACTAATTCCTGCTTACAATATATAGTTAAATGAATAAGTAGTTAATATTTTTATGATGCAGGTGAAGTCGAAATATGTGTATGTAAATCTGAACCCGTTACGCATATATTAATGCCTTGTTATCATCGTATTGGAAGTATATGTTCATACTATATACCTGAACCTAAAAAACACTGTTATATATGTCGAAGAGAAATTGTGAAATGTTTAACTATAGGTACGTTTTTGTATTAGATTATTATTTTTTAATTAAATAACTATCTAGTTGAAGACATTGTCCTTAAAGATTAAAAATTTTCCCTCGTTCCCTGAAAATGAAAGAAATCTCCTAAAATTTTATAATTTATAAAATCGGTAAATTTCGTCTTTTTTTAAATTTTAGTTTCGATGGGAAGCTGAGAAGGCATTGATTTTATCATGATTTTTTTTAACTTTTAATTATTGTGTCTGTTACAACTTTTTCTCAGCTATCACTAGACCGATTTTGTCAAAAATGTGTCTAAAGATCACAAATAGAATCTAGTTGAAGACATTACCATCAAAATTAAAAATTTTTCTTCGTTTCCCGTAAATGGTGGAAATCCCTTCATAAATTAAGATTTTTAAAATTGTAAAATGTCGAAATTTTATGTAAATTTGCTTAAAAAAATTATCATAACTTATTGAAAAATAAAAAATCAAATTAATTTTTTGATTTTGAAAATTTAGTCATTTTCCTTTCATTTGATATCATTTTTTTGAAAATCTGACACTTAACCTGTTTACAAAGGGGGATACAAAATAACAACTTTTTTACAAATGTCAACTTTTATAACTTAACTTTAGAAAATGTTCCAAAAATATAGCGTCCTTTAAATATACTAAATTAAAGCTTATGTTACGAACAATAAATTGAAAAAAAAAATTTGTCCGGACGACTTATTGTCTATGTGCAAATCGTTGCCGTAGTTTAAAAACATGCAATTTTGGTGTTAAAATTTACGATTTCATATTTTATTTTTTCAACTTTAAATTACTATTACTTTTCGAAAAATGTATGGATAAATACAATTTGAAAAATTGCATCAATCATGAAAATTTTATAATTTCAACTTTTAACTGTTAAAACTTTTTGAAAATTGTATGGATCAACACAATTTTTTTCTTCTAAATAGTACATAAATAATACAGACCACTTTCATCTGTCATAATTTTTTTTTATATGGGACACGCGGGGTTCAAATCTTGAAATATTCGAGTAAAAAGTAGAACTTTTTCAAATTAAGTTTTGAAAATGTTCCGGAAATATTGTGTCTTTTGAACATATGTTAAATTTAAGTTTATGTTACATACTATAAGTTAAAAAAAAAATTATCCCAACGACTTATCTTCTTTGTGCAAATGATCATCGAAGTTGAGTAAAAAAATGAGTTAATTTTGCTTATAGAATAATCCAAATGAAAAATTTGAAAACAGTGTGAAATGTTGATTTAGAAAAGTATATTTTAGTTTACGATGAAAATTACTTGTAGACAAATACATTTATTCATAATTAACCAATAATTTTTTTTTTAAGAGCACAAGCTCTTTAATTTGTATAAACGTTTATCATAAAAGTAG